TATATAATAAATATAATATATAATATTGAAGAAACTTCCTTTTAAAAGTCTCACAAGTATAATATATAATATTCAAGATTGGGAAAAGTCTCAATCTTGAATATTATATATTATATTTGGGCCTAAACTCTCTTTTATAATATAGTAGAATATTAGATTTTTTATAATTATATATATTATAATTATTAAATAATTATTTTATAAATAAAAATTAAGTAACTTTTATGAAAAATAAAACTTAATTACTTAATTGAGTGGTCATAGTTAAAATTAACCACAACATATAAGTAATATAAAAAGGAGAGAGAATAATTATTACTTTTGGTAAAGGATTTGTTTTCTTCGACGTTAAGTCATCTTCGGAAAATCTATATAACCCTAAAGAAACCCTCCTTCAATACACAATTTTTCTCCGCAAAGCAATTTCAATTCCGCTCTTGGGTTCCTGCTGTTGGTTATCGCAATTTCAATTTCGCTCTCGTTTCCCTGATTTTGAAGAATCAGTGGTTGATTCAATCGCCGTCTTGAACCATCGGCGTTTTCGTGGTTGATTCAATTGCCGTCTTGAACCATCGGCGTTTTCGTGGTTGATTCAATTGCCGTCTTGAACCATCGGCGTTTTCGTGGTTGATTCAATTGCCGTCTTGAACCATCGGCGTTTTCGTGGTTGATTCAATTGCCGTCTTGAACCATCGGCGTTTTCGTGGTTGATTCAATTGCCGTCTTGAACCATCGGCGTTTTCGTGGTTGATTCAATTGCCGTCTTGAACCATCGGCGTTTTCGTGGTTGATTCAATTGCCGTCTTGAACCATCGGCGTTTTCGTGGTTGATTCAATTGCCGTCTTGAACCATCGGCGTTTTCGTGGTTGATTCAATTGCCGTCTTGAACCATCGGCGTTTTCGTGGTTGATTCAATTGCCGTCTTGAACCATCGGCGTTTTCGTGGTTGATTCTATTGTCGTCTTGAACCATCGGCGTTTTCGTGGTTGATTCTATTGTCGTCTTGAACCATCGGCGTTTTCGTGGTTGATTCTATTGTCGTCTTGAACCATCGGCGTTTTCGTGGTTGATTCTATTGCCGTCTTGAACCATCGGCGTTTTCGTGGTTGATTCTATTGTCGTCTTGAACCATCGGCGTTTTCGTGGTTGTTCGTTCGTTCGTTCGTTCGGATTTGAAACCCTAGCTTCAAGTGCCGATTGAAGATTCTTTGATTTAGCTTCTTTAGTGTTGTTTTGGTACAAATTTACTCTCTGTTTTGTATTCAATATTTGATTAGATCTGTTACTGTGTTGTATATATTTGATAGAATTGTTATTCAGTTATGGCAATTCATTTCAAGTATAAAAGTGCGAAGCATTGTGATTCTATTCCGATTGTCCATCCATTTATTTCTGTTTGGGATTTGAAATTAAAAATATTTGAATCGAAGCGTTATGGTAGGGGTAAAGATTTCGATCTTCTTATTGCCAATTCACAAAGTAACGAACATTATGTTGATGAAAAGGCTTTGATTGCTAAAAATACTAGTGTTTTGATTCGTCGTGTTCCTGGACCACCTCTCTTGCCCATAGTAATTCCATCCCTTACTGAGTCAAAGCAAGTGTATAAAGAGGAGGGTCATGAGTCTGTTTCAGCCAAATATTGTTGTCTAGATTTTGAATGTGATGATTTTGGGGATGATGTATATGCCATTCCAAAAATATTGCCTGTTCAATCAGATAATCCTGTGCCAAGTGCCCCCACTAGTAGTAAAAATGATGAAGACACTAAGATCAAGAATGTAATTGCTACACCAGACATTGAACACTTCTCTAATGGCTATGGTTTTGGTCGAGGTGAAATGGAATGGAAAAAACCACCTTATGGATACGTGTGTCATCGATGCAATGTGCCTGGACATTATATTCAGCACTGTCCTACAAATGGTGACCACAGTTATGACATGAAGAAAGTGAAGCCTCTACCGAATTCCATGTTGATAGCAGCCCCAAGTGGTGGCAGTGTTGGAGTTTTGAAGCCCAAAGAGGCTGTATCTTCAAAGGGTGTTGAAGGTTTGTCGTCTACATCCTCTTCTTCAACGAAGAGTTCCTTTAGAGATATACCACGAGAGTTCTATTGCCCATTGTGTAAAGAATTGATGAAAGATGCAGTTATAGCAAGCAAATGTTGTTTCAGTAGTTTTTGTGATAAATGCATTAGGAACCATATAATGTTCAACTCTAGTTGTGTTTGTGGGACTAGAAATGTAGTTGTTGATGCACTCTTGCCTAATATCACTCTAAGGAAAACAGTAAACAGAATGTTGTCGGAGTCCAGTAACAGTGGTTCAGAGCATGGAGTTAGTGCTCCTCTTCCTCGAGTTCAAGATATGGTGTCAGCACATAATACCCTTTCATTCCCATCAGAATCGTGTTCAGCTTTGAAGGTGGCCACAAAGACTTCAGGGAGGAAGTCTGTCGATGAACTGCAGCAGAAGAAAAGGAAGAAACCATGTGATGTTGATGTTGTAAACATGAAATGGGGAGTTGCTGCTTATTATCCTGCACATAGCACAGGCGAACTATTTAGAGGACAGTATGATGAGACTAGAAAAGCAGGTTTGAAAAGGAAGCGCGAGATGAGCATTGATCAGTTTTCTAGTGTAGTTAGTTGTTGAGGGATGAAAACATTCACATTCTGTAATGTTTTCAAATTCAAACATTGTTTATCAATACATCAGAATTATTTTCTCTGGTCTGATTTACTAATTCATATCATTTTTAATGAGACATAATTGATTGGTCAATTTGACACTTATTCAGTTATATATATGGCTTGTTTACATTCTAGTAAATCCTTAACTCATGAACATATAATAGAAATTAAAGCTATTCTACTTGTAGTTTATTAATGCTATTGGTAAAAGATGATATATCAGTATCAGTAGATAAATCATTAGGTGTAAGCTAAAACATTAGTCACTTGTACATAATGGTTTTCAATGGCTTCCAATGCAAACTTGTTATGTTCTTTATTTGGGGGTTCCCCCTTTGGTGGAGCGATCTCCTGTATTCATGAAGTAAATTGGAGCAAGGGCTGTGGCCTTCATAGAAAAGTCTTTATAAATCGTCAACGTTATTAAATTGTGTTTGGTTACACCCTTAAACCATACAATAAGGCTATAATTTATGCTCCAATTGCAAAGTTAGTATTTATTTTTTAACTAAATTCTGCTATTCAGTTCCCATAAATATTTCTAATTGTCCCCCCAATTCCTCCTTGATTATTTTGTTTTGTTGAATGCATCATTTAGATAGAGTACGTAGTTTGTGTTTATGGGGTAGAAATTGTTATGTTCAGTCGGGAATACTAGCTCTAAGCCGCAAGTTAGGGTAGAAAGAACAGATAGTCAGATTTTTTTTCTTATGTGTTGGGAGTTTGTTAGATATAAGTATTCTAGTGATTGTTCTCGTGGTATAATTTAGAAAATGTCATTTTTTTCCAGTTATGGTGGTGAACTTGATTTCTATTTAAGCATATATTTCACATAAAATGGAGAAATCTGTATTCACTGAAACGTATTGTCGATTTTATTGATTACCTTATTTACCTCTGTGGCTAATGTGACTGATTATTATTGAAAAGTTATAGCTGCTACTAGATGAAAAACACAATAAGTTACCAATCACTTGATAAATTACAATACACATGTTACATGACTGTCTTACAAAAATTGTACCCATTGCAAAATAACAAGCACAATTTTGAAAAGTTCATGTATTTAACAATCGAATCATAGACAAAGCCTAATAAAATTCAAGCAGGTCATAATAAAGACAAACTCAAAACTAAAAATAAGCAAAACATATGAACAAATAACAATAAAATAGAGAATCAAAATTCCATTACACTTCCATCAAATATAATAGTGTCGATACTGTCTGTAACAAACCTCCTACAAAACATTGACTAACAAAATCATAAGCTTAAATTTTCTAGGCAGCAGCCTTTTGCTTCTTTGGTACACGATAGGTACCAACAACACAAGCGTGGTCTCTTTCAAAAGGTTCAAGAGTAACCTGCTCCACTGGTTTAAACTGATCAGCTTGTAGCTTCTTCACTTCCTGAGCAAATACGGCTTCCGCTGGCACTGTTGAATCAATGCAGTTTGCCTAGAAAAATACAGGGAGCCATATAAACAATAAAGGAAAAAACAAACAGGCTCTAATTGATACTTCCAACAATATCTTTGCATCAGCTTAACATAATAGAGCAGTGGCTACAAACCTTTATTGAGATAACAAAGTGACCTCCAGCTTTCAAGAAGTATGATGCATTCAGAGCTAAAATTCTTGCCTGTGAACAACAAAGTTTATTTAAACATTGGAATAGAACTCATACACATCATACTTCTGTGCTGCCGGACAACAATGAAATGAAATCCTAGAGAGCCACAGACGAACTTTCCTGTTTTAGGCTAAAATATCTGTGCAGTGTGCTTCAGAACCACAAAGACTATATACAAAGTTACTCTCCTAATATTATGGAAAAGACAATAGGTTTAAGAAGAAAAAATGAAATACATAAATAGTGATTCATTAACTAATTGTAAGATTTATTAAGTGATGTTTAGGAAAGAAGAAAATAGGAGTTTCAGGTTCACAAAATCAGAAAAGGTCTTCCTGCAAAAAGAAGCACAGAAATACTGTACTGTTTCGTCTTATTCAAAAAGAAACAAAGAAAGAAAAGAAACTACTCAAGGTTGAAGCTAATATTTCAAACTTCAAATAAATAAGACAGCATCAGAAACTCGGTTTAACATCATCCATGAAGTCTTGAAGGGGAATCCGAGTAAATCATCATCTGCTTATCAGTTCAGTATAGAACCAAAAGGAAAAGAAATTTCATAGACAAAGAAGTATTTTCAAAAAGTTTAAAGTGAACATGTAGATAAACATCTAAAAATTGAAGAACAAAAATTTAAGTTCAGGAAAAAATGAAGAAAAACAACTGAAAATGGGGGGGGGGGTTTTAAGTTTTAAGAAAACATGAAAATAAACATCTAAAAAATGGCTTTAAAAATTGAAGTTGAAAATATAAAAAGGCACTAAAAGGAACAGAACCAGCCAACAATAGCACAAGTTCATTGAAGGACATTATGTATAGAGACAAAATCACTATCTGAAGTACAAGAGTCAACCAAAAAGATGGGAAATATAATTGTTTCATTGAAGTAAAGATACAAGTCAATATCAAGTAATCAGGTAAATGAGATATAAACCCACAGCAGTCGACCACCATTGACAGAGAAAATGGTATCAAAAAACATATGCCACAGCAAAATACTATTGCACATCAACAGTCATAAAAGGTCAGACCTGATCAGGTTGAGCAACATCAGAAAATATCACATCCACCATTCCAACCAACATTCTGTATTTGGCTGGGTGTCTAGCATCCTCAATAATGGGAATAACATTAGTACGTTTCTTAGCCATGTTCACCAAGTCCCTTCCACTTCTGTGAGAAAATTCAACAGCATATACAACCCCATCCTGCAAAGAAATGAACATCTAATAAAAAACCAGCACTGCCATCAACACAAAATATGAATGAATTCACATACATAGATACTTACAGGTCCAACAAGGTCTGAGACATGAGATACTGTTGTTCCTGAAGCAGCACCCAGGTAAAGGACTCGAGCACCTGGTTTCTGAAACAAATTCAACATGGAAAGAAATGTGTTATTCTCAAAACAAAGAATAACTACTTTAAAGCTCATGATTTGACAGGAGACAAACTTACAATCCAGATATCATCAACTCCTCCAAGAATTGCAGCTGCTAACTTAGAACGGAAAGGGTTCCACACTCTGTATTCAACCTTAGTTCCATCTTCATTCTAATAATGTAATAAATATACACAAGTCAATAATCTTGTACATTCAACAAATTTTTGTATTGGGTTAGTTCTGACATACAGAAGTTAATAAGTTCATACTATATGTATATATATTAAGATGATAATCGGAACAGAAAACAATAGTAGTATACAAGATGAGGGAATATGGGCGCAGTAACAACGATAGAATCATTATAGTTGTTCAAAATTTCTTGTTCCATCGAAAACGAGCAAGAACAAAAACACTATGATAAACTATATACTTAGATAGACTTGCATTTAAATACATTAAGACAAGTTGCATATAATTTATACGAACAAAGCATTAATTTCAGATCCAAGAAAGACTTAGCCTTGCAAACATTTGGTACAAAGAGACATAAAAAACAAAGTACACACAACAAACAGAACAGTAATAAGTTTAACCTAAATATAAAAGAAAGATTATAACCTGAACAGAGATTCTCTTTTCATTGTAGACAGCTTCACCAGGTACCAAATTCTTAGTACAAAGAGCATCTTCCTTGCCCTTAGCAATGAACACGCCTCCATGTCTATGAGGCTCCACCACAACCCTACTACCACCCTTCATTCCTCCACGTCCCCTTCCTCCACCTCTTCCACCTCTGTCTCCTCTACCTCCTCTACCTCCTCCTCGCTTCATCCCACTTCCTCCACTTCCAAAACCCCCTCTTCCACCACTAAAACCACCTCTACCACCTCGTCCTCCTCTTCCTCCTCCATCTCCTCTTCCGCCCCTGAATCCACCACCACCACGACCTGCAAATGTCAGTAAAAATCATATATTAAAACCAAGTACAACCACTACTGTGACTACTAAGTAGAACTTTATTTCAACCCAATTCATACAATCAAGCATTAGAAGTAATTACATAGAACCAGATATTCATACCTCTAGTTGGTGCAACCATGGCTGCTGCTGGTGCTGGAAAATGATGGAAGCAGAGAAGAATTATCAAGTAGAGCTATAAACCCTAATGCTGAATGTCGAAGTTACAGTCTAGCGGACATTTTATACTGCTAATCAGGGTTTAGGGTTTTGCGAGAGGAACTAGTTGGGTGCTCAGATGGGCTTGGGCCGTAAATATGAAGCGTAGTGGGCCGATCTGGCTGAAACTTGCCAACTCCTTTTTCCATTATCAAAGCAATATGCTTTCATAATGGGCCAATCCTGAATTGATGATGAAATGTAATTTAGAGAGAATTACTGACTATTCTTAATTGGGCAAACTACATAAATCCCATTAGTTTAGGTCCTAATTACTCAAATTCCCGATAGTTTTAAATATTACTTTCTCTATCATATTTCATACTTAGGATACATGAGTTTGAATTCGTGAGATACATGTATCTGCCGAATTATAAAATCGAGATACGTATTTTATTTATTTAAATTAATTGGTTGTAACTGATTTCTTTAAGAGAAACTTTCACATATAGCAAACAAAAAAATCATATATGTATGCTATAGCAAAGTTTGCATAATTGCGCTCCATAGCAAACATATATATGTATAATTCGCTATACATATATACAAAAAGAAGCAATTGTATAATTCGTTGGCTCCTCTTCAGAAATGTATAATTTCGCTGGCAGGCCATTTGTATAAATTGTTGTTAGCCTCTCGTTTGTATAAATCGTTGACAAACATAAATTATACATTATACAAGCATAAAACTGGGCAGGGGAATATTTTTATTGTATAATTATAAGTGTATAGGACGAATATATATGTATTTGCATGTGTATATA